AGTGGGGAATGAGAAAGCAGCTGTGTTATCACAGTTCCAGTGTGGCGAGCCTGCAGATGGCCTTACAGGATGGCCTGAACTGAGAGAGTCTGGTTTTGGACTGCAGGATCAGCATATGCACCAGCAGTCTGGGCTGGCTGACAGGCAAGGGCACTAGTGAATGGCTGTGGTGGGGAACGCGCATGCTCTACGTAGATTCCTCCTTTGAATTGACACTGAGTTATACAGGAAGCTGCTGGGAGATATCCTGCCGATGGACAGCAGGGAAAGCCTGACTCAGAGACTATGTGGCTATTGATTAGGTTAGCGACAGGAATGTAATGCCATGTTTTTCCATGTACTGGAAGAGGTTTATTTACCTAGTTAAAGCAAAGAAGCACACGTCATGACACGCTCAACTAATTCTCAATTATTGCACACCATACCAGACCATAGGGTTGCTCTCTCATTAGAAAGAGAGATGACTGGTGGTGGTTTAACCTGAGGGTCACCATGCCGAAGGTGATGGGAGAGATTGAAAAGAAGATTCCTTCATGATAACCTCAGGCAGTGCAGGAATTGAACCCTTACTATTAGTGTTACCCTGCATCATCCAGTCAACTGACCTAGTGTAGGACTGAGTGAAGTGATATATTTTGGTCGGAAGAATAAGGAGTCAATATAAAATAGGATACTTTTCTAACATGGGTAAAGGAGCAGAGAGGCCATGAGTGCACCAGTTGTTGAAGGTGGCAGTACAGGTTTGGAAAGAAGTTGAAGCTGATGTTTGGTAAACCTTTAAAAATCACTGGTTCAACTTTGACTTGAACACCATGTCCAATTCCATGCACAACATTTTAGTAGAGATGTGAAGGCATTGGGAAAGGTACAGAATAGTTTTATGAGAAAGATTCCAAGGATGAGGATTCTCAGTCAGACATAGCAAGAACTGCCAATGCTGGAGTTAGAGATAATACAGTGTGGAGTTGGAGGAACACAGCAGGCCAGGCAGCATCAGAGGAACAGGAGAGTTGACCCAAAATGTCAACTTTCTGGCTCCTCTGATGCTGCCTGGCCTGCTGTGTTCCTCCAGCTCCACAGTGTTATCTCTGAGCATTCTTAGTGACTTGAATAGAAGCTGGAGCTGTTTTGGAGGAGAGAATGTTGAGAAAATATTTGATAGTAATGTTCAAAATCATTTGGAGTCAGGACAGAGTAGATAGGGAGAGATTATTCCCATTAGCAAAAGGGTCAAGAACTAGAGCTCATTGATTTTAACGTGATTTGAGAATGAAGCAATGCTAATGGAATGAAAATGATTTTAGGATCTGGATTGCAATACCTGAGAAAGTGGTGGAAGTCAATTCTATTGTGGCTTTTAAAAGGAAATTGGATCATTGCCTGAAAGGGAAATAAACCATCAAGGTCACAGGGAAATTATGGGGGAGTAGGACTAGCAAAGTTGCTATTGGAGAGAGTCAGCATGGACAGAAAGGATGAATGGCCTGCTCTTGCTGATTACCATTTGTCAGAAAACCTTTCTCTTCTTTCCTTAACATTCTTCTGTTTAATATCCAGCCCTATGTCTGCTTAGAAAAAAATGGCCAGTGTACTATTTTTAAACCTCATTTTCAAATCTTGCCATTTTTTTCTTTCTGCTTAAAAGGTCACATCTCACAATAAAACTCATTTTTCTTTTTATTTCCTTTTGACAGTCTCATTCTCACTTGAATATCGCAGCCATGGAGTGATGTTTTATAAGAGCATAAATGTCATCCTTGAATTACAATAGCTGTTGACTCTGAAGCGTAGATTATCTGAAATGGGTCCAGTTTACACCCAAATAGTTTAAAGACAAAATTAGTTCTGGTGGAAATGGAACTATTTCCACTCAATTTTCTGAGATCTGCTCATGGTTGTAATCTTATACAATTTGAATTCTGTGTTTTGGTATTGTCAAATGGCAAATTGCACAAAAGTGAAACTATAAGGGAATTATGAAAAAAACATAATCCTCTTTGGGAAAGTTAAGAAGACATCACAACCAGGGTTTGCCAAATTTTACAGAGGAGACGACACACAAAAGGGAAAAAGAACCTTTGGCACTGTGCAGGTTAACCAAAGATTATAACCCTTCAAGGTTTGGTTTTAAATTTATCTCCAGTGCCTTGTACTCTCTAACACGACCTTGCCTCTATATTGTTTTACCCACCCCATCTCTGTTCAATATCTTATCAAGCAGTTTATAAACACAACCTGGCACCACATAGTTAACACATTATGAAACTTCAATTGCAGCTTACAAGAAGTATATCTATCCCTTTAAATAGTTGATCACTTACAGCAACCACTTCCCCCACACCCACTCTCTACTCAAACTGCTCCACATTTTGGATAGTCTTTGGCTTCAGGCTGCTACAGTCATGGTTCTGTCTGTCCTTCCAAAAGTCAATATCCTTATGTTCACAGGCAGCAATACATTGTGTCTATTTGATAACATCAGTTTCAGCAGATCCTCATTCTCTGTTTTGCTGGTCTCCCTTTATTCAGTGCATTATTGGTCATATCAATCCCATTCTGAGCCTGTATCTCACTACAAGTAACTGAAGTCTGGAGCAAACCGCCCTGACATTCCTCTTCCTCCCTTATGAGTTAGGCTGGCTGAAGTGCACACTCAAATGTGATGACTGTGTTGGAGAGATTCAAGATGGCAATATCTACTGTTGATGTGTTTACTTAAGATGGGTGTTCTGTACAAACTACATTGCAGACACACAAGATGCTCTGTCATATCCTAATTACTAGTTATGTATCAATGAAAAAAATGTCTGTTTTTTTCTCAGCTTTAAGGGTATTTAGTGCTAACATAATTGGAATGCAATAAAAGAGACAGTAGCAACATAGACATGACATTGAGTAACAGGAAACAGAATAGCTGAAAAAATACACATTTTGTTGAAGCTTTTTATTTTGCACTCATCGGGACAATTCACAAGAGTACCAAAAAATGGAAATGCTATATTAGAGGAAAGCGCTGATGGGTTGGCAAGTTGATTCTGACTGATAGAAGCATGGCAAGGAGAATGCACCAGCAAGATGACTGACTGATAACTGACAAACTTTGTTTAAATTTTAAACCAGTCAGGTTGACTCTCATTGGTCAAGGCGGTGCCTGAGAAATGAACAAGAGAATAGCTATTACTATTTTGTTGAGTTCAGACAGGTTGTATATTTCTTCTTTCAGCAAAGAAGGGGGTCATGTATATTAATATTCATTTCCAGTACACACAGGTGCACTACACAGCAAGTCCAACTGCCAATCTTAAATTAGTTGTCAGCATAATTTTTTGCGCATTTGGGTTTATTTAGCAAATGTTGTCCAAACTGGGAAAGATATGTTCTGTGTTTCTATTCCCTTTTGTGGCTGAATATGTGCATGTATGGTTTGAAGGGAATACAGTTTAAGTAATCTGCTTTCCAGCTTATTAAAGGATACATTTATATCTAATAAGTTTTGTTTATTGATGAATCTGGTCTGAGTTTCTGATTGCAGTCAACATCAGACAATTAACCATCTTTATGATTCGAATGGCAATTTATACATTTGTGATGGTTCCTGGAATAATGTGGCTTAATTTCCAGCACACTCTTCTCATTGGGGTCATGACAGTTGGCAGAATGGGCAAACAATTGGAAGATTGTGAAGTGTGAAGTGATTCATTTTGGAAGAATCTGCAGAGGCTATATAAATCAAAAAGCACAATTCTAAAGGGGTGTAAGAGTCTGCTTTAATAATTGAAAGTGGCAGGATAGTTTGAGAGAGTGATTAATAAAACATATGGCATTTTCAGTTTTATCAATAGGGTCATTGAGTACAAAAGCAATGAATTTATGTTAAATTTTTTTTTATGGTTCAGCCCCAGCTGTTGTCCACACTTGAGACAGTGCAAAAATGATTCATGAGAATGTTGTCATGGATGAAGACCTCCAGTTACAGAGTGAGATTGAAGAAGTTGAGGCTGAACTCCTCAGAGAAGGAAATTTTGATGGAAGATTTGATGGCAATATTCAAGATCCTGAGGATGCTAGACCGTGTAGATGGGGAAAACAATGTTCTCACTGGAATGGATTGATAAAGAGAGGGAACAGATTCAAAAGTAATTGGCCAAAGTAACAATGGTGACATAAGAGTGATTTTTTTTTCATGAAGACTGTGGTTAGGATCTGGAATGTGCTGCCTGTAAATGTGGTGGGAGCAAAGCTCTATTGAGGCGTTTGGATGGAAATTGGATTATTACCTGAAATTGTGGTTGACTCTCAGCTGCCCTCTGAATGACCAGCAAGCCACTCAGTACAAGGGTAGGCTAGGGACGGCAATAAATCCTGGCCAGTCAGTGATGCCCATGTCCCATGACTGAATTTTTAAAAAAGGGAAGAATGTGCAGAGTTATGAAGAGAAGACAGAGTGGCTCTCTTTCTGTGGTTTAACCATTCTGTGATTCTGTGTTTGGCTGTACAATGCTTTCAGATTTCTGTTGGTCATGTAAAGCAAGTATTTATTTTTACAGGTCTATTCTGGTGTGGCTCTATGTCTCTGAGAGACATTAGATTTTGCTATTGGTTTGACCCTTTTAATCAATCTTGTCTGCAGATCTAGGTCTTCGATAGATCTTGTCTGCAGATTGGGCTAAGACTCTAACAGCATTTAATGAAGATATTACAATATGCAAATAAAAATATTGCTGATTATCCCATTCAAGTACAAACTTCCAAATATTAGAGCAAGTTAACTTAATCATATTAAATGAATCAGTATGAATACAATTGTTTGTTGTGATGCAGAACAAGTTGACATATGACTGATGGGGTCACTGATGCTATGGGCATGACCCTCCAATAAAGGCGCACTGTTCAAGCTCACTTTTAGAAAGGTCGTTTTGAAAATTTGTCAATCTGTTTTGACTTTAGGAGAGCAGGGGCAAAGTCACATCATTTCAATTCCTCTTTTTCTAATTTCTTAGGTACCTGCATGAACATTTGAAGCAGATCCAGGAAGAAGTCAACATTCTTAAAAATAACATTTCGAAATATAAGGTATTGTTCACTGTAACAAATTGTTGGTCCCCAGTGAGACCTCACATTCTTTGATCAGCAGAAAGCAATAATCAATGTTCATTGTAGTCAACTCAAATTTTAAATGGTGAAGTGATACTGTCAGCCCTTCAGTATGGAATACACTTAGTGCTTTAGAATATACTTAGTACTTCTGTACAAAGGTGTCTAACATTAAAATATCCAAAATGATGCTTGCCACTTATTCAATCAAAAATGGCAGTTCTTTGATACTTTTTTTTACAACCCTGCAAGTTTTATCTATCTTAAGTCTTCAAAGGTCTTAATCCAAAATAAAGATTTAAACAAAGGAAAGATCACAATTTTTTTCAAACTGGCAAGATTCTATTTATCAATTAATTTGTGTTTAAGTCCTTCATTAAGATTTAAGCCTCTGCCATTAGTCTAGTGAACTTATTATTTTAGCCAAGAGTTGTAATACTCATGGATAAAGACTGCAGGTAAATCATTTTAGAGGGCACAATTTCACAGAGAGCAGCAAAAGCATTTATTTAACCCAACAAATAGATAATCCTACTTCTTAAATGCTCCCTCCTTTTGTTTACCTCAAATCCCTAACAGCTTTCTTTGGTCATTTCTTCACAGGTAGCCACTACATTTTGTCACCCAGGAGTAACAACCACAGAATGATAGACATTAAAGCACACAAGACAGCCACTTGGCCCATCATACCAATGTTGCCACTTAAACATTTCTCTTTTTCTGCTTCAACTGCTCAGTACCATAAAGCATTCTGTGCTCAATTGCATACCGTTTAAATAAATCATGATTTCATTCTTAGTGACAACTTAAAATTGACCACTTCTTGAGTCCCCAACTAGAAGAAATAGTCTTTTTCTTTTAGCTTCATCAGAATTAAAATTCATAATTAAGATAAAATCCTCTCTCATCTTCTATGCTCTATTGGAAACAGCTCTAGAAACACAAATCTCTTCTCATAACTATACTTCCGCAATTTTGGTGCCATCCAATTGAAGAACAGAGAGACCTAGAGGCTCAGGTGCATAATTCCCTGAAAGTGGTATCACAGGTAGACAACATAGCGAAGAAGGCATTGGGCACCTTGCCTTCATTGGTCAGACCATTGAGTATAAGAGTTGGGACGTCATGTTATGGCTGTACAGGACATTGGTGAGGCCACTTTTGGAATACCGCGTACTGTTCTGGTCACCCTGCTGTAAGAAGGATGTTATTAAATTGGAAAGGGTGCAGAAAAGATCTACAAGCATGTTACCCTGAGACCGGAGGGTTTGAGTTCTAAGGAGAGGCTGGATAGGCTGGTACTTTTTTCTGTGGAGCGTAGGAGACTGAGGGGAGACCTTGTAGAAGTTTATAAAATCATGAGAGGCAAAGATAAGCAGAATAGCAAAGGTCTTTTCTCTACGGTAGGGGAGTTCAAAACTAGATCAGAGGGGAAGATTAAAAGGGACCTGAGGGGCAACTTTTTCACGCAGAGTGTTGTGCATTGTGAACTGCTAGAGGAAGTGGTAGATTTAGGTACAGTTACAACATTTAAAACACATTTGGACAGGTACATGAACAGGAAAGGTTTAGAGGGATGTGGGCCAAATGTAGGCAAATGGGTCTCGTTTAGTTTGGGAAAACTGTATGGGATAGACGAGTTGGACTGAAGGGTCTGTTTATGTGCTATATGACTGGGTGACTCTATGACTATGATTCTAAGGTACATAGTTCAGCCTCAATGTTTAAACAACCTTCCTATAAAAGAGTACTCAAAGCTGGATGCATTACTGTAACAAAAAGAGAAGTTGCTGGAAAAGCACAGCAAGTCTGGCAGCATCGGTGGAGAGAAATCAGAGTTAATGTTTCTGGTCGAGTGACCCTTCCTCAGTTTCTTCTGTTTTTATTTAGTATTTAACCCACTGCCACATCTCTTTTAGGCATGCCCACCTTGAAGAAGCTCTGCTCCTCTCCCCAACGGGATTTCCGTTCCAATCTTTTTTCTTGTCCACCGACGTTAATTTCACTGTCATTCCTGGTGTTTGACCAGGTATTTGTTAAAACTCATTTCCACAGCCATATCACATTCCTCAGTGACTGCCTCCGGCTCAGACTCACCCCACGTGGATTCCACCTCAAGTTTCATCCTTCGTACTTTGAATCCACCCAGGATCATAGATATTTCAGCGACATTCAACATTCCACAGACAGCTGATCTCACTGCATTATGAGGAAGGGTCAGTCAACCCAAAACATTAACTCTGATTTCTCTCCATAGATGGTCCATAGACCTGCTGAACTTTTCCAGCTATTTCTGTTTTTGTTTCTAATTTACAGCATCTGTAGCTCTTTCAGTTTTTACATTTCTGCAGCCACGGCCAAAATTTCTGCGTATGGGTTAATAGTTATTTATTGAAAAACTTGTGCCTCATTAATAAAACAGAAAATTCTCTTTCTGCTTATAGCTTTACTGGGAGTCTAGTTTTCAAGCAAATATGATATTTGAATCCCTGTGGGATAAGCCATGTTTTGCATAAATTCAACATTACTTTTTTATGATCTGTGCTCCTGTTTATAAATCCTAACTTGCTGCTGTGTTCCAAGGTAGATAGTTTAAGAAATTAGGTATTTCCTCCTCAGCTTTCTCTCTCATCTTGAGGAATAAATTAATTTATGTTTGGTCACTTCATTCCCCATGAATAAATGTTGGACTGAAATTGATTTTTTTTAACAAATGGATTATTTGTCTATCAGGACATTTCATGGAACCTATTATTTTATTTTTCAGTCACTTTGAAATATATTTTGTTGGTTGTCGATGTATTTCTAAATCTAATGAGATACATATATTTAGTGTTTAATGTAGTGGTTGAGATTAACAATCAGAATGAACTGCTAATTGGTTGCTTTCTTACCAGGCCTTCATTGATCAGTTGAGCCACATGGTGTCTTGAGACCAAGGAAATTGGCTTTCTTTAATATTAAAATTTATGCTACCTCTTCATTTTATAATTTATGTTTCACCTAGAATGCTCTTGAGCGTAAAAAACACCCAAAGACAAGCGGAAAAAGCAGCAGTAGTGCACTTACGGGAGTTCTTTCTGCTAAACAAGGTGAGACTTGTTAAGAGAAATATTCTTTATCTTCCTGTCCAGTTGGATATTTCACTCTTAGCATGTTCTTGAACAGCTTTACACTCACCCTGTCGAACCACTACTTAATTCTTCAGTCTGCAGAGTTGAAATGATGCCTTAATCCAAACTAATTCTGAAGTTTTACAACGATGAACAGAGAAGCTCTCTGCCCACAACATTATTAAACTCACCATATGCTTCTAGTTCTCATCCATTTTCTTAGCCCAGACAAAATTACCCTTGCAGATAGTTTCACCAATTTTAAGGAATTTGGATAGGGTTCATTAGGATTCTTTATTGGCTGTAAGACCAATTACTGAATGAATCAGAATCCGTAAGTCAGGCGAACTCCTCTAGACTAGTGTGTTGTGAATTGGGAGTAATAATTGTTTACGTTTGTAACCAATTTGATGTGTGTCACTTTTCATTGTAAACATAGATCAATTTTGTTTTTCTGTTTTGATGAAACATGTACAAAATATATTAGATTTTTGGATTTGGATAGAGGCAAACAGAAGTGGGGTAGTGCTGTGAAGGTTTTTTCAAAAAGGTTAGACTCATTCTGGAACAGTCACATAAATGCACAGTCCGAGGAAGACACAGTGAAGTGCCTGGAAGACTCCTGTGGTATTTATGGAACAAAATGTTTATAATTCTGTGTTTGATGGGCAAAGTAAACAGAACAAATCAATTAGTTTTGTTTGGACTTCGGTTTAGAAGAAAACATGAGTTTGTTCAAAGGGGAAAATCTTTTCACTTAGCAGGAGTTTTGTTCCGTTTAGTTCAGGGAAACGGGTCACTGCAGCAGCAGTACTTTTCCACTCTGCGAATTATTCAAAGCAGGAGAGTTTAGGATAGAAGCTACATGTATTTTAGACTGAAAACATTTAGAGCATCAGAAATGTTTATGCTGTCAGCTGCAAAGGAGTTGTAAAATTGACTCTACAGGTCAAGAAAATGAAACTGAAAAGCTTCACTTAGATAAATACTTAAAAATTAAGATAGGATGAATATTTTTCTTGGATTGACTCTCTGGAATAGATAGTGCTGGGAAACAGGTTGAAACTTTGTTTTGCTGTTGTGTTAAGATTTTTCTAAACTGTATTTTACATCTGTATCACATTTTTATCTTCTTTGTGTATTATTGTTTGTTTTGCTGTTGACGAATGCTTACAACTTCATGTGAAAATGTTTTAATGACAAACCATTGCATTAACTAACTAAAAGTATTAAACATATGAGCTACTAAGCCAGGTTATATTCTGGGATCTGATTTACCCCGTAATAGCTTCAGCTGGGATTGTAACAGAGTGGGGATCTTTGTGAGTTCAGAACTAGATGAATTTAAGATGGACATATATCTCTTTTAAAGAAATGCCTATGTGGAATTTCTAGATACAAAATGAGAGTGTTGCAGTGAAGTTTCTTTCCTGGTTTGGACTTTCAAAATGGCTTTGAATATTGCTAAGACTTTTCTGAGAGTAGAACAGGCAGCAGTGGATTTTCGAAGTCTTTGACTTAGGTTAAACTGAGTTAGCAGATAAATTAAGGGTAGAAATGCAAGTGGAATCTCATAAGAATGAGATATTTAAAGTAGTTGTCTAGCCTTTAGAATTTAAAGCGGGCCATCCTGAACTTGGATGTATCGTCACTAGAATTAGCTAAGATTCAGCTAGAAGTAAAAACTGAATTGACTGAGAGAGAGGAAAAGAAATGAAGAGGCTTGAATTGGAACGAAAAGAGAGTGAAACAAAATGGAAATGGAGGATAAAGAAAAGATAATTGAAAATAAGAAAACATAAATTGGGGTGTGAGGAGAGACAAAAACAAAGAAAAATTGAAAGAGAGAGGGAAAAAAAAAGCCAGAGAGATAGAATTTAACAGTCTTGAACTCCGAAGAGATAAGGGAATCAAGCAATCTGACTTGGCGAGAGAAAAGCTCAGAGTGAAAGAAGAAAGAATAGATCAGAGGACGATTCTGATTCCAGTTAGAGGTTTTATTTGACCGGAAATCTATGCTTAATGTCTAAATTTACTGACAATGGAGTGGACAGATATTTCTTTTCATTTGAAAAGGTAGCTGGGCAGATGAGGTGGCTAAACATGCCTTGACTTTAATGTACAGTGTGTGTTGACAGGTGCAGTAATGACTGTGTATGCCAGCTACCAGAGGAACAATCTGCAAACTGTGAAACTGTTTTAAAACAAAACAATACCCAATACATATAAACTTATCCCTGAAGCTTATCAGTTCAAATTTAGGACAACAGGGTAGAAATCTAATCTGATATTTGCAGAATTTGCGAGAGAAAAGAAAATGCTGTGGGATCAGTGTTTTCGATCACGAGTTAAAGAAAATATTTGAAGAAGTAGGACTGTGGAAGAATTCAGAAATAGTATTCCAGTAATCTTAAAACACATTATAATGAGTATCATGTATCAAGAATCTGTGAAGCAGCAGTTTCAGCAGATATCTTTGCTATCTCACACATGTAGGAAGATGGTGACATAGGAATTCTCAAGGAAACTGGAAGAACAAAAAATTTGCAGATGAAAAGAAGTATTAGTTTTAGTAAACCATGGAAGGACACCAAAATGATAAAAGAGAAAGGCTAGAATGTAAATAAAATAATATACTTCCATTGTAATAAGACTGGTTACACCAAAATTGATTGCTGGAAATTACTAGAAGACCAATTTGCAGGAGTAGGAATGCTTAAGGAATTCCTGGAAAATGACACAGTGTGAAAGGAGGTAGGAACTAAAACTGAGGCTGCAGTTATAAAGATAACATGTCTCCTTAACTACTTAGAAAGGTAGTATATCTCAGTACAGTCAAGAAAATTCTTTCTCAACGATTGAGAACTATCACTGGAGATTCTGAATATTTTATCACAAAGGGAAGATATTTCCTTGTGCTTCAAACTGAACAGGTAAACCAATAAAATTACTAAGATATATTGGAGCAAATCAGTTGCTAATACTGGCTCGTCATACAGTTTATCTACCAGAAGCGTTAGTGAAGGAGCAAATCTTACTTGGAGGTACACATGGAGTTACAAAACAGTTCCACTTTACAGAATTGGAGGACAGAGTGACTTTGAATATAGAGAAGTTGTATTTGGAGGAGTAGAACATATGTCCGTGACAAACTACTTTAACTAAATACTCCTGCAGTATGTCAGGTGGATCTGAACATGACTTCAATGATACTAATTGCCTCCAATTAGCTTCGCAGGATACCCACTGGAAGCAGCAAGATATTAATGGGCCTCATTAAGAAGTCAGTGAACATCCAATATCCCTGAGTCCTCTGCAGTTTTGCGATAACTCACAGATTTCTTCTGACCTTGAAAATCTGACCAGCAAAGCCTATCAGGTTTGGCTGAAGCCTCTCAGCTTGAAACGGTGAGCCTGCATCTGCGGGTGGGGGAGGTTTCCTGCATAGACAGGAAAGGGACCTGGCAACAGGAGGGAGTTGCATCTGAACATCCTGCTCCCACCCCTTCGGCCCATGAGCTCCAACCCACTATCTCTCTCATCTTTAATAGTCAGAGATAGGGAAACTACCACTCTGCTGCAACATCCTTCAAACCAATGACAGTAATGCCTTTGAATTTAGTCGCAAGTTTATATATCTCAGTAATTGGAGCAGTTGGAATCGAGTTTTAATTGGCTTAGAGATTGTTGATTGGCAAAGTCTCATCTGTCTAATAACTGAGTTTCTGTCCTTTGTGGTTTGAGAGAATTATATTACAGCGATCGTAATTGTATTTAAATTAGATGTCTTGTTGTTTTATGAAGGCAGATAATAGCTAGAAGTTATCTTTAAGAGACACCAATAAAGAATATCTTGATTTTGATTGATCTGTGGCAGTATTTAATGTCTGTGCAGAAAATTAAACTAAGATTGGGTTCAAAAGGAATTCTCCAGGTTACAGCCATTCAATGGAATGATCATATACCATATCATTAATAACATACCCTGCCTATGTTTAATGTTATTGAATTCATATTGTGATTATCAAAATAAATGATAACTATGTGAAAAATCACACCAAGTTTTCAGGATTAAACATTGAAACATGAAAGACTGTCTTGATTGTTATCCAGAGATCCCTGCTTGAAGTTCATACAATCAACTTCTCTTAATTTAAAGTTACTTCATTTAAGTCACCTGATAATTCATTTGTTTCATTCATGAACTGCCACCTATGTTATCTGATTGATGCTTTATTCAAAGTACTGTACAATTCAATTCTTTGAGCACATGATGGCTTTAAAAAACAATGTTACGTATTATGGGAGTTGACATAATTTGAGTATCAGCTCTGGTGGCACGCAGTTGAATATTTTCCCACTTCTTGCTATGAAAACTGACTTTTATAAAGCATAACCATATATGAAGCATCATTGACATCAGTCTAATTGAACGTTAGCCTCAGTCATATCCTTCAAGGAAAAAGGATAGTTGAAGAAAATTTTAGATGAAAACTGTCATGCATTTCTCAGGTTTTAGACCCAGTAACGGAACTGTATCAACTTTGTAATAGCTGTCTTTTTTTGGCTCTTTTTCATCTTTTGTTATGTCAGAAACTTTTGAAACACCTGTTTATAGCATGTAAACATCTTGTCCATTTGCTTAATCTGATAATGTCACATTGTAATTTTTTGCTTTTATGCATGACTTATCATATCATATTAATATGAATATATATTAAGAAATATATTAATGACCCTGAATTTGATATACAAGGTGCAATTTCAAAATTTGCATTTGATATAAAATTTGGAAGCACTGAAAGGAGACCAGTGTAGATCTTCAAAGGGCATAGTTTGCTAGATTGGTGGACAGTTGGCATATGAAATTTAATGCAGAGAAAGGTGAAGTGAGTTGTTTTGGTAGAAATAATACCGAGGGACTAATAGCATAAAAGGTCTAATTCTAAATGGAGTACAGGAGCAAAGGTACCTGAGTGAATATGTGCATAAATCATTTAATGAAGCAGCATAAGGCATCCAAGGCATTTAATGTGAGTATAAAATATAAAAGTAAAGAAGTTATTTTAATGTTGTATAGAGCATTCATTTGGCCTCAACTAGAATATTCCTTCCAGTTAAGATAAAACACCACCAGTTGTCTCTCTGTAATGAGAGCAGCCCTATGGCCTCATAGAACATAGAACATAAAACAGTACAGCACAGTACAGGCCCTTCGGCCCACGATGTTGTGCCGAACTTTTACCCGAAACCTAAGGTCTATCTAACCTACACCGCTGCCTTATACTATCATCCATATGCCTGTCTAATAGCCGCTTAAATGCCCCTAATGAGGCCGACTCCACTACCCTCTCCGGCAATGCATTCCACGCCCCGACCACTCTCTGAGTAAAGAACCTGCCTCTGACGTCTCCCCGATATCTACCTCCTTTCACTTTAAAACTATGTCCCCTCGTTAAAGCTACCTCCACCCTAGGAAAAAGTCTCTGGCTGTCTACTCTATCTATACCTCTGATCATTTTGTACACCTCCATCAAGTCACCTCTCATCCTTCGTCGTTCTAAAGAGAAAAGCCCTAGCTCTCTCAACCTTTCCTCGTAAGACCTTCCCTCCATTCCAGGCAACACCCTGGTAAATGTCCTCTGCACCTTTTCCAACACTTCCACATCTTTCCTGTAATGAGGTGACCAGAACTGGACACAATACTCCAGATGTGGCCGAACCAGGGTTCTGTATAGCTGGAGCATAACTTCACGGCTCTTGAACTCAATCCCTCTATTAATGAAAGCTAACACACCATACGCCTTCTTAACAACACTATCCACCTGGGTGGCAGCTTTCAGGGAACTGTGAACATGAACCCCAAGATCCCTCTGGTCCTCCACATTGCCAAGAATCTTTCCGTTAATCTTGTATTCTGCTTTCAATTTTGTCCTTCCAAAATGAATCACATAGAACTATGGTGTTTTTACCTACCTTTTACATTGAATAGCTGAGGCTCAAGCATAGATCCTTTTGTGGCACTGTTGCCTCACAGAGCCAGGGTCCCAATTTCAATTCCAGCCTCGGGCGACTGTGTGTGAAGTTTGCATATTCTCCCTGTGTCTGCGTGGGTTTCCTCCGGATGCTGTGGTTTCTTCCCACAGTCCAAAGTTGTGCAGGTTAGGTTGATTGGCCATGCTAATTTGCCTGTAGTGTCCAGGGAGATATGTAGGTTGGGTGGGTTAGCCATGGGTTACAGGGCAGGGTTACAGGGATAAGGTAGGGGATTGGGTCTGGGTAGGATGTTGTTCGGAGGATCGGTGTGGACCCAATGGGCCAAATGGCCTGCTTTCACACTGTTGGGATTCTACATTATAGATATGAATTGGCACCCTTTGTTCTGGTTGCTGCTTTAGGGGAAATGAGTAGAGGGGAGATGTCAGAGCAGACATTCAGGTCCCCATTCAAGGGCAACCCCTGAATTTCTGATGCTTCCTTTGAGGTTCTTTTGGATGTAGCAGTATCACTGTGCACTGTTTTTTTAACTGGAGAGTTACTGAAGAGGCTAATGGGATAGGCCAGGAAATCTGTTTGGAGATAGCAGAACAAAGTGTGTGTCTGGTGAGGAGGACACCTCAATGACATTCTGGAGACTGTTAAGGTGAATGTCATGCGACACCCAGAGTTCAGGCCTGCAGAACTGCAGTCACAAACATATACAGAGAACTGGCAGCCTGAGGGTCCATAGCCCTCGAGAACAGTCAAAACATGTGCACTGATCATTGATAAATGCAGCACTTTACAGGCGAAGGTGGCAGTGCATGAGGGTGTGGGTGACGTGGAAGTTGATGATGAGAACAAGGTAAAAAAGGAAGCTGTTGGGAGGGATAGTAAGAACTGTCAATGCTGGAGTCAGAGACAACACAGTGTGGAGCTGGAGGAACACAGCAGGCCAGTCAACGTCAGAGGAATAGGAAAGTTGACGTTTCGGGTTGGGACCCTTCTTCATTTCTGGCCCAAATTCATTCTAGGATGACCCAACCTCAAGTTTACTGGGAATTCTTTGTGTTTCTCAAGTCTCCTCTCAAACCTTGAAAGCTGCACCTCAATAAGCTGACATGCAGCTTGTTTGCATTCGAAATTACTAACACACCTTATCACTTCCTGCTTCCTTACTCCCTTTCAAAAATTGCTTCACATCTGTGCTGGAAACAGTCACGTCTTTTTGCAGCATAATTTTCCAGGCTGTTCCATCTCTGTTCTCATTTCTGTTATCCCAAAAAAATTCTGCTCCACAAGTCACCTTGTTCCAATATGAGTATGTATGACCTAGAGCATTAACTGTTTCTGTCTCCACAGATGCTGTCATGCCTATTGTGAATTTCTATTATTTTCTGTTTTTATTTCCATTTCCCAGGACTCCATAGTATTTTGCTTTTTGATGTATGGACATGGCTGTGTCTACTATTTTAGTTACTGCCTCAAAAAAAATTATCAATTAGACATGACCTACTTAATTCATGTTGGCTATCTCTTAATTTGTTCAAATTTCTCTTGCGCTCAGCGATTCTGCTCTTGAGTACTGATTCCAGTTACTTCTACACAATTGATGTTCGATTAATAGGCCTATAATTTCCTTTTTAAGGGATCTTGTGGTGCAGTGGTAATGTCTCAACTTCTAGGTCAGAACAATGATTTTTGTGTCCCTGTTCAACATCAGTGACCACTCATAATTGCCTCAATCTCTGCAGATTAAGAGATAATGTTAGTTAATGTTCCTCCTTCTTCTCATTGCCATCTGACAACCCTGCTGAGTACCATGTAAACACAGATATTTGGTGAAGTCAGATTCAGTAGTAAATCTCCTCACTTTTCCCTCACCCCCACTTTTGTCCCATGTTTCCTGATTGCTGTTCGTGACTGTTAGTGAGAATAAATACTTGCTTGGAATACCAGCAAGAATCCTTATCTTCAGGAGAAGAGGAAGAAAATGATGCAGTTTAATTAATTGAAGATGGCTGAAAAGCTGCCAATTTTCTTTTGCATAATTTGGGAACAATCTGAACGGAGACCAATTATTAAAATGTGCATGTTTTTCAGTCAACCCAGGCTGATGAAGTTGCATTAAAAAATATGAGCTGTTTGATGGAAATTAAAGTTGATGTAGTGTGCAGCATATTAAAGATGTTATTGGAAAATTTTTTTAATAAAAAATATTCCTAAATGTGTGACTGACTCATGTAACATTTTGATGAGTTAGAACTGGTCTGATGATAATTAATACTAAAGGGAAATTTGTTGCAGTTACCCAAAGCTCATTGTGATGTTTGACGTAGCAGGATGGTTATCGTCAATTAAGTCTGTAGTGCTGCAGCAGTACTAGAGTATATTTTTAATGTGATGCAGTTAACTTATCAGACTGTAAACTCATACTTTTAGTGGGGAGCTGTATTCCGAGAGAATGCAAATCAGAAAACTTAGGATTTTTGTAGTTCTGTGTCCAGCCCAAGCTCTTTTTGAGTACAGGACCTATGAATTTACTCAACAATTCTAAAGATATTTGTTGGTTACAAAGCAAGTGGAAAGTTAACGAATATTTTCAGCAATAATAATAATAAAAGCTAAAGACTGAAAATTAAATTTATATATGTATTTATTGATTTTACTAAATTTTCTGAGAGGAATTTGAATTTCAAAATGTCTGCTTTTGTTGACTAGGCAATTAATAGTAATTGATGTTGTTTTATGTGTCTTGGCTACAGTCCAGGAATTACTGTCGGAAGATCATGGTTGTAGTCTGCCAGCCACTCCACAGTCCATTTCAGATCTGAAATCATTGGCAACTGCTTTACTTGAGACGATTCATGACAAGAATATGGTTCTTCAGCATCAACGGCAGACTAACAGGCATGTATTATATCTGGCTGATAACAGAGAGCCACTCATACTGTCCTTTTAAATGTTTTGATTTCCCAATGGAAGAGATAAGACCATTATTCCTATTCTATATTATTCCTGGAAACAAGGAGATTGAATTATTTTGTTATTGTTTTGATCAAAGATTTAGTGCTTCATTGCCACTAAATTGATCAGTGAGTTGCAAAGCTATTTTTTCTAACTGAATAAGGGCTTCTCACTGAGAAGCACAGCCCTGTCCTTATCTTCCAACCAAACAAATATCCTGAAAATGGGAATTTGGAGGAGATGTCTGCAAGCCTCATCTGAACTTGACTCTTCTGTATTTCCCCACCTTCATTTTGTTTTTAATATCAATATCAATGCAAATAGTTCTTGAAACGTATTCTAATCCAGACTTCTGAAAGTGTATTTTCAGACTTTGTATTGATATTCTTTAAAGTCTACATCTTTGCTTTCAAGGATACTGTCACCCATAAGTAATTGCCAGCCCGAATCTCAAATGTATATGGAAATTATCATATCTTCCAGATCTCTACAAGCCAAAATATATAATTAAATTTATTTGCATTTCAAAAAAAATGCTGCAGAAATATTAGACAGATGAGTCAGTATAAGCTGCAAACTTTTGACATATGTACACTTGAATTGCCTTTCAAAAGAGTGAATTGGACTTTCAGTCTCTTGACGTAAAACAGCAACTTTCACTGTACTGCTGAGGTAATGAATTACACATATCGGAGTCTTTCAATCTAAATATTCTCTAGATGTCAACATGACCTAAAAACACAGACATCCACTTCCTTTATATTCTTTATTTCTTTGAAGATCAAAAGAACAGTCTGCAACACATGACAGTGATGGAGATTATCTTGACATCTCTTTAAATTTAAACAATAACATAAAGGTGAATTCCCTGCTGCTTCCATTTTGGATCTTAGCTGGGTTAACATGTCCATATACATACCCAATAAATTAGTCAATGTCGTGTAGAAGGAGGCCAGTGTGTCTGTGGAAGATGTCCATGTAGCATTCCAGTTGGTCCAGTTCTCCTTCTGTATCCTGATAGCCTTACAAACTTATTTCCTCAACTACCTGTTGAGTTTCATTTTGAAACCATTGACAGTCTTTGCATCCAAAACCCTGCGCACAGCGAGTTCCAGATCATTATCTGAAAAGAAAATTCTTCTTCACATTTCTATACATCTCTTGCCCAAAATTTTAAATTTCTGTTGCTTAGACTTGACCACCAGCTTATGGGACCAGTTTTTCCTCGACTCCCTTATCTCACTTGCCAGAAACTTTGTCAATCAAATCCCCACCACTCAATTGCCTTTGTTCCAAAGAGAACAACCCAGCTTCTCTAACTGGACCTTGTTAAATCCCCCCAACCCTGAACCATTCTAATAAAATTCCTCTGCACCCATGCAAGGAACTTCATATCTTTCCTATCGCATGATGATGCAAACTAGGTGCAGTAATCTAGTTGTTACCTAACCAATGCCTCGTCTTATGAAGCTCAAGAACCCAAAAGCTTTTCTAATTAACCCTCTCAATGAGTCCTGCCACTTTCAAAGATCTGCGCTCCTAAGTCCTTTTGTTTATGCACACTATTTAGCATTGTGCCATTGGGTGGAATCTACTGCTGTGTCCATTGTCAGGCATTGAAATGGGAGTCATGTCCAGAGGGTTGCGGGGGGGTTACCATTATACAGGCCATCACGCTGTTCTCAGGTCATTACATATGCATGTGCATTTTTGCGTGAGCACAATGGTGAATCTATTTGCAGGAGACTCGAAGAACAGGTGAAGGGCAGCTTAGGGAAGAAGGTGGTGTTTATCCCTCTTTCTGGAGAGAAAAACACGAGGATCAACCCAAAGCACACGGAATTGGATTTGCTATCAAGAACGAACTTGTCAACCGACTCTCCGAGCTCCCTATTGGCATCAACGATCGCCTCATGAGTCTTTATCTAAAACTTGCCGTGAACCACCAGCGATGAATGTCTATATTTCAACTGTCAATGCCACAGATGAGTCCATAGAGTCACATCAACTCTAACCTCCCAGTTTGCCTTGATTCCTTGCAATTTGCCTACTGGCGCAACAGTTTCACACCAGACGCCATTTTCCTAGCCCTACACTCATCCCTGGAACATCTGGATAATAGGAATACGAAAGCCCGGCTTCTACTTATTGACTCCACCTTCAACACTGTAATCCCAATGAACTTAATCGCCAAACACCGATACCTAGGTCTCTTCGCCTTCTGCAACTGCAGCTTCCTGACTCACGGACGTGCCCCATAAGGATGAGTACTCAGCCCCCTACTGTAGCTCCTATATACTCACGACTGTGTGGCCAAATTCTAACTGAACTCCATCTACAAGTTCGCTGACGACACCACTGTTGTAGGCTGGGTATCAAACAAAATTGAGACTGAACACAGGAAAGAGTGCTTGGTGGCATTGTGTAAAAATAACAATCTCACCCTCAATATCAGCAAAACTGAAGGGCTGACCATCGACTGCAGGAAGCAAGGAGGAGGGCATGCTGCTATGTAAATCATTGGAGCTGAGGTGGAGATGGTCAAGAACACCAAGTTCCTAGGAGTGATAATAACCAACAATTTGTCCCTGACCACACATATTGATGTAACGGTCAAGAAGGCACAACAACGTGTCTTCTTCTTCAGGAGGAAATTTGGCATGTCCATGAGGACTCACACTTTTACAGATGCACCATAGAAAGCATTCTATCTGGATGCATCGTGGCTTGGTACAACAACTGCTCTGCCTAGGACTGTAAGAAACTACAGTGAGTTGTGAAAACAGCCCAGTCCATCATGCAAGCCAACCTTCCACCCATTGACTCCATCTACATTTCTCTCTGCCTTGGAGAGGCAGCCAACATCATCAAAAACCTCTCTGGCTCTGGTTATAATCTCTTCCAACTTCTTCCATCAGGTGGAAGATACAAGAGCTTAAACACGTGTACCATTATGTTCAAGAACAGCTTCTTCCTCACTGTTATGAGACTTCTGAATGAACCTCTCAAATTTCAAATGTAATGTTGATCTTGCTTGTTGTGCACTTTCTTTGCAGCCATAACTTTGTATTCATCGCTCTGTTCAAATACCCTATGATCTTTGAATGGTATGACCTGTCTGTACTGCATGCAAATCCAGGTACATGTGAAAATAATAAATCAAATCAAATCATAGAAGGCTTCTATTCCACCGTGGACACTACACTCACTAACATTTTAAGGAAGGTAAAATTATCCTGCTTTGAGACTTCAACACCAGGGTTGGAAAAGATGCTAAAATCTGGAAAGAAACCATCGGAAAGGAAGAAGTCAGGAATTGCAACACCAATGGGATGTTTCTGCTCACCAGTGTGCTGAACACCAGCTGGTCATCATCACCACAATGTTCACCAAAAAAGACAAGTTTAAGACTTCTTGGAGGCATCCATGATCAACCATTGGCACATGATTAACTCTGTCTTCATTCGATCTTGATACCAAAGGGATATCCTCATTACCAAAATGATGACAAGTGCAGGCAACTGCTGGACAGGCCACAGGCTCATCCACTCCACAATTTTCATCAAATGCCACCAGAAGCAGCTGAAGAAAAGGAAACAAGGTTGAGGCTCAGATCCATTCATTGGTATGCTTCTGCAAGGGCAATAAGACGTGAAGATTCTGTTCCAAGAGACCATCCGCATACTGAAGTTCCACAAGCTAGGACAGTGTCTTTTTCTTCTTGAATGTCAACCGGTTGAGGTTGGAAAGTTTTCTGTCCATCCAATAGACAATGTCTATACCACTGGGAAGCTTCATCTTGACAAGATGAAGAATGATGGTAATGAAGGTGGAGAAAAGGGTTGGGGTGATGACATATCCCTGCTTGATCTCATAGAATTCTGTCATATTACTGTCAGTGAGGACTGCTGGCAACATCTTGTCATGGAGGAAACTGAGGATGTTGATGAATTTCACTATTGACTGCTGGGCTTTGACGGGGTCTTCCATAGCACTTCCCAATTGACTGAGACAAAATCCTTGGTCAGATTGAGGAAGGCCATATAGAGTGGTTGGTGATGTTCCTGGCATTTCTCTTGGAATTGCCAAGCAGAACAAAATGTTATGGGGTAACAAAGGAGCCTCATGATAGAGGCAATACTGGAAATAAATAAAATAAGTAACGGTCAAAACTGTCAGGCAATAATTGTGCCTGGAATCACGCTCAGAGCTGCTTGTGACTGCAGCTGTGGCCCTCTTATTCCTGAAGCTCCCTGATCGGAGATTGAGAGATAGGTTCAGTGGTTTCCCAGTCTGACACTGGGATGCTGCTTGCAGGTACCTCCTAGGTTTCAGCCTTGGAGGGTGGTGAAGGCATTTTGCCATTAATTAATCCCTAAAGCGATCTAATTGGCCATCCAGCACTGCTGCATGGATAGACCCTGTTGCATAGATCATAGAATCCCTGCAGTGTCCACAAAGTCCACACTGAACCTCAGAGCATCCCACCCAGACCCATCCCCCTAGAACCCACCTAATCTACACATCCCTGAACACTACAGGCAATTTCCCATGGCCAATCCACCTAACCTGCACATCTTTGGACTGTGGGAGGAAACCGGAGCACACCCACACAGACATGTGGAGAATGTGCAAACTCCACACAGACAGTCACCCGAAGCTGGAATCGAACCCGGGTACCTGGCACTGTGAGGCAGCAGTGCTAACCACTGTGCCACCATGCCGCCCCACCTCTCACAAGATTGCTCAGACAGGAACACACTCAGGAGCAGACCTGACCCTCTTCAAATGTTTTACACAGTCCTGTCTCCAACTCTGGTTATAATTAACAGCACTGTCTGGTGATTTAGGCAGTTTGCTTCATAACAGGAGTCATAGGAAATCACACAGAAAGCATTGTAGGTAAATGCACAGAGATATCATTTTTAATATATTCTAGATGACAGGCACTGTTGTGAGTGAACCCACTTAAGTTAGGAGTTGGCCATGCTAGACTTTTGAAGTTTGTTTTTATGGTATACATCAGGATGAAAACTGTTGGCTCTATTGTTACTCATGACACATGGGACTAATATTCTTTGATCAATACATGAAATGATAATACCAGTGTGTTTATTGGTTGATTCTATATTCTTTGTTGTGGCAAAGTGAATGTTTAAATCATTTCATGAATATATTGAAAGTAGCATTTTTCAACAGATGCTCTTTGAATTTATTCTCATCTCTGCAGAATTCTGGGAAATCGTGTAGCTGAACTGGAAAAGAAACTGAGAACTTTGGAAGTTTCTGGTTTGTGGAGCCTTCCAGGTGAATTTGGACCCTTTGAATCTTATTTTCATTTTCTAAAAGTTCTTTGCAGTCTTTTCCATGTTTGTTGTTATTTCTAGGTTACGTTTTCAAACACTTCGAAACAGAAGTTTTTTTTTTAACAATGCCATGATATATAAAATTATTCCAGATTCTCGTCAAGTGTATAAATGAATGAGATTGAAATGAGATTTTACTAAATATTGTATCAGTACAATTCATTATGTTATTCCAATTAGCAATAGAAATTGCTGTCCATGTGTTTATGACTGTTCATGACTGTTAATAATATTTCTGGACATTTTGGCAGTACTTTCTTGTGCTAGTGGTTCTGAATGTGGTGTTCTGTGTTTGTATTTGACATGCTTGGTTCCACACTTTCATCTCCCAGCACTCACTCCAAAAATACAAAGGTCTTTGCAAAAAGCAGTGACCCATCGCATTATAAGTGTCCCATGCTTTGTCTCATAGCACACCTGAGTACATTTTTGAAATTTGGTCTCAAATTATGCCACGTAACACTCAAATAATTTACTTAAAACATTTATATGGAATCATGCATTTTACTGTTATAGGGTAGAAATGAACTAGTTTAGTTTTTAAAATGACAGCAAATTACTGTTCTTAAAATAAAAGAGAAAGAAGTTAAAAAGAGTTAGCTAGATTTTTCTAAACTGCGATCCCATGCTGGAATGCCTGGCTTTTCAAGTTAGTTGCAATATTAGTCCTGATATTCCAATGACTAGAAAGCTGTTGGAGCATCCTAGACTGGAGATGCACATCAGGATGATGTGGAATTCCCAATGCAGTTGACTGTGTGGTAATTGCCCAGGCAGTTGAACATGCCAATTCGCAACTCTCCTGCATCTGGAAGCCTTTGAAAAAGCCCCATTTATGTTGGAGATTTCAATGATGTTCTGACTCACTTAAGCTTAGTTACCCAGGAAATGTTAGAAGATTAAAAGAATACATTCTGGATAACTATTAAACTGAACCTCCCCCCACTCCCAGACCCTTGTATTCTTTTACAGATGCGATCCAATAGTCCTCCCCACCCTCACTCCCTGATCTATCTGGGCCCCATCCAGAACCAAGAGCTACTTATTACATCCCTCCAATCTGACATTGCTGGGACACCCTTCCAACCTGACCCCCTGACCTATACTAAGCACTCATCCACTTAAGTATCACCCTAGCCACCTTACTCAGCTGGTACCCTACACCCCTTCACCCACCTGGTGTCCCACCCACCGATATCTACTTGGCTTTCTCCCATCTTACCCACCAGCCACCGCCTAACCATCTGCCACCCTATATCCTCATTTAGCTTAAACACTCACCCTTTGTCAATCGCTATCAAAGTAGCTTTGGGACCTTTAACTCCTGAAATATGGCAGCAAGTGTCTAGAGAAAGGGGTGCATCTTGACCTGCAATGCTAACCCTACATTGAGTGGATTTCTCCCAGTTTCTTCTGATGGACTTATTTGGGATGATCCAGACTCTGAATTTTGGTTGGAAAAATCGCTGACAGAAATGTGGGCAATTTTAAACAGGGTAACTATCAGTTGGATCTGTTCTGATGGCCATAATTTTTAGCTTTTTATGATTAGTATACTGGCCAAGACAACATTTGTTGATCATCATTCAGAAGTGTTGGTGAGCTGACTTCATGAGCTTAAGCAATCCATGTGGTATAGGAAGGGAATTCCAGGGTTTTGATCCGGCAGCAATGAAATAACAGCAATTTATTTCCAAGGCAGGATGGTGTGTGACTTGGAGGACAATTTGCAGGTGATTCCCATCCATCTGTTGCCCTCGTACCTTTAGATGGTGGAGCTTATGGGTTTAGAAAGTGCTGTTGAAGGAGTAGTGATGAGTTGCTGCAGTGTGTCATGTAAGTGGTAGACACTGCTGCCTCTGTGCATCAATGGTGAAGGAAGTGAATGTTCAAGGTGGCAGATGGTGTACTAGTCAAGTGGGCTGCTTTATCCTGGATGGACCCAAGCTTCTTGAGAGTTCTAAACCCATCCACACATATGGAAGTCATTGCATGATGTGCCTGAGTAGTGTTTTTTGGATGGTGGACAGGCTTCTTGAAGTCATGAGCTGAATCATATTTTGCAGGATTCCCAGCCTCTGACCTGCTCCTTTAGCACAGTATTTGTATTGCTGGTCCAGCTCAGTTTCTGATGAACGGTAACCACTAGAATGTTGGTAGTGGGGGATGGTAATGCTATTGGAAATCAGGGAAATATGGGTAGATTTTCTCCTGTTGGAGATGTTCATTGCACAAATATCACTTTGCACTTACCAGTCCATGTCTGAGTGTTGTCCAGGTCTTGCTGCATATGGACACAGATTGCTTTAGCATCTGAGAAGTCTTGAATGTTACTGAACATTTGCAATCATCAGCGAACAACCTTGCCTCTGACCTTATGATGCAAGGAAGGTCATTGCTGATACAGTTGAAGATGGTTGAGCTTAGGACATTACCTTGGGGAACTCCTACAGAGATGTTCAGGGCTAGGAAGATTGACTTTCAAACACCACAACCATCTTTTTTGCTAGGTATGACTTCACTCAATGGAGAGATTCGATTCCCAATTACTCCAGTTTCGCTAGGGCTTCTTATTACTACATTTGTTTGAAGGCAGCCTTGATGTCAAAAGCAGCCACTCTCACCTCACCTCTTGAATTAAACTTGTGTTTGAGTCAAGGCTGTAACGAAGTCAAGAGTTGTGTCTCCCTGTTGTTGTGGTAGAATTGCCATTGATGGTCTGCTGATGTGGACTGCTCTCAGTGCTGCTCTGGAATATCCTGTGTCTGGATATTCAAGGATATTAACATACAGAAAGAATTCTATAATTTGCTACTTTACTGTGAGAAAAATAATGCCCCAGATCTTACGACTACAGTAGGACGCCCAATTTTCAGCCCCCTATTAGACAAAGAAACACTTACTTATCTTTGCAGCAGTTCCCTGTCTGAGCCTTCAAATTGTGCAGCTTCCCAGCTGAAACAATCTGGTCTAGGCCAGGACTCCATGCAGTGAAGTGGGTCAGTGTTCACACTACATCCCTTTTATCAACACAAGGTGCTATATTCCAAAGGTTTGAAGATCCAAAACATACCTTCACAGATGCTGAAGGAAGATAAATGGGAGAGAGCGTAAAGGAAGGGGTAATGGGGGCTATGGTGTCAGATGGGTGAGGGTTGAGGTGGGATGGGTGATTGGGTGGCAAGTAGTTCATGGGTGGCATGCTCGAGGCATGAAGGGTTAGGATGGCAGCTGGGTGGGGGTAATGCAGTGGCAGGTAGGTGAGGGGTTCTGTTACTAGGGTGGAAGATTTGGCTGGCAAGTTGGTAGGAGGTAGAGGGTGTCAGATGCAAGAGGGAGTAGGATGACTTGTAGACGGGGTTCTGCAGAGTGTGGGGTAGTGATAGGATGATGGGCAGGGGTGGGATATAGGTTAGAGCGACAAGTCAGTTCGGGTCAGTATGGGTCAGGAAAGCCTGGGTAAGTAGTGGTTCAAAGGGATTGGGAGTGGAAGCTGTGTAGAGATCAGGAGAGGAGCTGGACGTGTCTTGTGTCCATGAGGGGTCTGGGAGATTGTAGGGTCAGGAGGTGGTGAGGTCCAAGTGAGGGACTGTGGGGTTAGGGGATGGTAGAGCTGGGATGGGGTGTGGAGTGTTTCTTAGGGTTGGGTATCTGTGGGAATTAGGGCAGGGGTTCAGGGATAAGGTGGCAATGTGAGTTCAGTATGTCAGCTTACCAGTTATCTGGGGGTTACATTACGTTTAATCCCTCTAACCTTTCCTCAGGAACTATTAACTTAAGTATATTGGATCCCTCTGGACTCAGAGTTTAGGACTTTTTCAGATGGTTCCAGATCCAGGTAATTGTCCGTCAGATGTTCCAGCCTCCAGGGTAATTCCCAGGGAGTTAGCTGCACTCGGACATCCACATGGTCTCAACTTGCAACTTGTGTCTACCTTACTGCCAACAACTATTTTCCCACCACAATATTTGAGTAAATATTGTTATGTCGTTTTTTTGTGAATTTCCTGTGTGTCAAACCATTCTCCAGCCGAGCAAAATAAACAAACTCTGGTCTCTTCCAATGTTGCAATAATTCATCAATGCTTATACATAAAATACAGCCACTTGCGTTGTGCCACTTACCTTCTGCAAATTGATCTCTTCACTTAAATTCCACTCCACTTATGGAAAGCTTCAGCATTATGTTTACATAGTTAACAATTAATGGTTGCACACAGGTTGAAATGGTAGGTTTTTTTCACAGTAGTGGAGGGTATGCGGTGAAGTGGGGAGCTATGGGATTGGGGGTGGTGGATGATGGTTGTGCTCGATCAGAGGCATTTTCACTGTGGGAGTCATGCAGAGCAATTCTCTTCTGTGCTGGCAGAGATGATTGAAGATGAAAATTTATGTTTGATATGGGGGAGGGAACAGGTATGATTTTCTGGTGGGACAGAAGTGCAGATAAGGGCCAGAACAGACACTGATTTCTTTCTGTACAGGAACCGTAAATTCTCATTTTCCAAGCTGAGGTGAATGAAAGAAAAGTGGTTTCATAAACTGAAATAGAAATTGCTGGAGAACTCAGGGGAAAGCAGAGTTAACACTTAGAGTCCAGTGATCCTTCTTCAGGACTGATTGCAGCTGGGATAAGGTTGGTATTTATGCTAAAGAAGAGGGTGGAGGGGGAGGTGAGCGACTAAGTGGAGGTGGAGCCCAGAGACAGAGAGCTATGATCATAAGACATAGGAGCAGAAACTAGGCTTTTCGGCCCATCGAGTCTGCTCTGTCATTCAATCATGGCTGATAAGTTTCTCAACCCCATTCTTCCGCCTTCTCCTCATAACCTTTGATGACCTTAGCAACCAAGAACCTATCTATCTCTGTCTTAGATATACTCAATGACCTGCCCTCCACAGCCTTCTGTGGCAGTGAGTTCCATAGATTCACCACTTCCTG